CMMMRGRAAAWTWWAAAAAAAAACAATATAAAAAGTTATTCTCTGTTTTTAGGTTTTATGACCAGTCTGTACATAGCTTGTGAACCTTGAGCCTTTTATCTAATTATTCTTCTCTCTCCCAGTTTTATAGCCTCTGAAAGAATATCAGACCTCCATATCACTAAAGAAAAGTCTGGACTCAGAGAAGTCCAGGGGACACAATCTCCTTCTGGTTGACTTTGAACCTTAAGTAAAACTCATTCAAACAATTGCCATGTCTTTAGGGTCTGCTGGGTGCCTGGCACTGTGCTGGGCTTTGGAAATGCAAATCCCCTCCTTGGGAGCTTGCAGGTGCCTGGAGAGGCAGAGAAGGGAGCTGTCAGGTGCAGCCCAGGGAGACAGCACCAGATAGTGACCCTAGTGCTTGGCCTATTTGGATAAGGGACTTCTGCCTCTTGGGGGGCCCAAAGAGAAAGCTTCCTAGAGGAGGTGCTGTTTGAGTTGAGTTTTGGAACAACCAACCAGACAAAGCGGGTGGGGAAAGAGATTCCAAAGAAGGGAAGCTGAAGTGGTGCCAGCACGGAGGTTTGATGGCAGGCCAGGCCAGGAAAGTAGGAAACCCAGTCGCCGGGTAGCTAAGCCTGGGGATCCTGGTGATCACATGTCCCTATTGTCCTCAATCTAAAGAGATACAGAGCCAATAGTTGTGTCATTTTTGGTTTCAAGATACCTAGTAACTCTATGAAGCCTTCCCCAATCTGCCCTCTTAGGAGGCCCTATAAGGCACAATGCCAGCAGAGCCTTTTTGTCTTGCTTCTTTCTCAAAATCCATGCTAGTTTTCAAAATCCATCTCTTCTTTTTCAAAAGGCTTACGGACCTTCTTTAAATTATGTGGTCTACAATTTTTCTAGCAGAATTACATCTTTCTTTCTTGGGTAAATTGGTACATTTGCTGATAACAATTTTCTGGAACTCTTCTAGAAGTCTCTCAGGGATCAAGAACATTGGCTCTGATATCCCCTCCTTAGGTTTGCATGGACCTTGGGATGTGAGGCTTCAGGGCTGGAGATTTGGACTGAAGTGGCTAAGAGGAGATCCCACCTATTGATTGTCCACACCCCTCCCTTCCTGCCCAGTGCTTTATTATATTTTATTTTTTCAGTACTGGGAACCCAAGTCCCTGTGAGTGCTAGAGAAGCGCTTTACCACAGGGCTACACCCCAAGGCCTTCTACTGTTCTTTTAACAGTGCTTCTTTAAGCCCTTCTAGTTAGAAGACCATTTTGCTTTTCAGAGGGACTAGACATAAACAGGAATCGAGTTGTCTTACTTTCACTACCTGCTTTAAACACACCATCGTGATCCCTAAGCCTGGGCCTCATTCCTTTTCAAATCTTAATGAAAAATAATCTACCTCTGCCCTTTTATCTTTTTTGCTAGCATTTTTTTTTTTGCAAGCCTCAGCTTAAGTTGGGCATCGTTCTCACAGAAATGTGTCACTCTTATCAGTGTGTCCTTGGTACTGTGCCCTTCCTTCTATCTTTGTACACTTGTCCCTTTCTAAACAGAACATGTCATGAAAAACACAATAGCTCCTTTAGCTCTCTCCCAGTTGCCACCTCTCTGGGATTAGTCACAGTTCATTTCATCTTGCAAAGCCTACTCCTTTAGGGGGAGTCACAGTCCACAAGCTCCTACCCACCTTTTCTCTACATTTTAAAGAATGCAATTTCCTCAGGTCCTACCATGTAGCAGCTACTCTGCTTTAGCTAATGAGGCTTCCTGTAAGCACTAGGCAGCTTGAAGCCCTCCTCTTGGGGGTGTCTGGCCTCCGTTCCACTTCTGTCACCCAAAGTAGGAACGATCTGCTCCCTCCCACACCTGTGTGACCTGACCGTCTACAATAAGCACACTAATCCTGCTCTTACCTGCCAGGCTCACACCAAGTGCACTGGAGCTTCTTGGGGGGGGGGGTCCCCACGTCCCTGAAGACCAACACTCCTTCCTGTCCCTTTCCATCTGCTCGCTCTCTCTCCTTTGGGCATGATACTCCCATGCCAGGCGAATGTTCCATCTCACCAAGTTCTAATGACATCTTGGAGGTCATATTGCCTTCTTTGAGCTCATGTGATTACTCTTATTTTGAATATTTTCCTAGACACTGAATTAAAAAATGAAATCTGATATGAATGAAGATGTCGATCATTGATCGAAATCTCTGGGAAGTCTCGTGGCTTTCATTACCTTACTCTATTAACCCACTTTTTCTAATTGGTGATTGGCTGGGTAAAGTGCTCTTTTTAGAAATAGTGCCAGTGTGCCTGGGGTAAATAAATATTCAGGTCAGGCAAGTAGTAAGAAATGCACATTTTTCTCTATTTTTCTAGCTATATTCTGGTAGAGAATTAAGACTGACAGAAGTTGCCACTTAAGAATATGTCCACTTATTGGTCACTCTTACTTCATTTTAAATGGAAAAACAGATTAACAAACCCGTAAAAAGTCTGTCGAACCTTTTGTTGTGAAGAGTCACATGCTGCCAACCCTCTTTTGGCCTTGGCTTCTCAGCTTCTTTTTTGCGGCCTGCATTGTTCTCTGCACATGCCTTTCATGCCAATGGTGCMGAAAAGAGGGCAAGGTTATGAAAAGGAAGAAAAATCAGGAGAACAGTGAGGGGACAGAGTCCAGGCACTCAGAGACCTCTGGCACAAACATGCACCCAGGAAGGCCATCCCCTGGCTGAGAAAACAGATGGAGTTTCAGACCTCCTGGGGCTGCCCRTGGCCCCCACTTCTGAATCCAGCTAGTCCTCCTCTTCCTTCTAGCTCCAACGCTTGGCCTCTAATGCATTACCCTGGAGAGAGGGGGTTTAGTGAGGTTATCTTAACTATGCCCTCTTCTGAGTAAGTAAATTTCCACTTTCCCTGATTGCAA